AAATTTTTTAAAAACGTATATACACTGCTGTTAGGAGATCGATAAAATACTAAAACCGCAATTTTTTCAATGCCTGCTGTCACACACACGCACGCACTTTCACAGACATTTTCTTTGACTGCGTTTTGAAGCAGATTGACTGGCTTACATAACAGATTTAATCGGCAATATATGGAAACATCACCATGTAGTGATTCTTGTCTACAAAAACTGTCCACAACTTCATATTTGAGATGCCGGTTACACGAATCTGTTCTTAGTCATCCAGTGTTCACTAAGCAGTAGTAGGTCTGGCTTTTTCTGATGTATAAGAAGTTCCAGCTGACCTATTTTAATTTCCGCACCTTGTGCTTTTAGATGGATGACTTTAAGAGTATGACTGTCACAGGCGCTATTTGGGTTCCTATTACTTGCTACTACCTGGCTCGCGGATGCTTCAAGTTTCCCCTGTAGCTGTGAGAGTTGATTCGAACTGGGTTTTGTTTCTGCTGGCTCGAAAAAAGTTGAATTCAGACGCAGCAATACCTGTGTTCCACGATTCTGCATTCAGTAGGACTTCTTTTACAAACTGGTGGGCTCCGATTTTGAAAGAACTAAAAGTTGATGTGCGATTCTTAGCATCAATTTTGTAGCAAATGAGTCATCTCTCCCATATGTGTCATTGAGATGGTCCCTCAGCTCATCTGCGGTTAAATCCTTCTGAAAATTTGCTGCATGTACCCATGTTCGCTTTAATATGCAGTGCAGAAAAGTTAGAACTGTCCGGGTCAGCTGTTCCTATTATTGTGATTGTTTTTTTGCTCTGCTGTTCATTTGGACGCCCGGGTTTAACGAATTCTGGTTTGTTTTCTGACTTTTTTGTGGTAGTTAGGATACCCTGGTTTTTTGCAGACGTTTGTCTATTCGTCGTCGTCTGTGAGTTGGTTACAAATTGTGCTGGATTTTCTTTTTCTACTGTAGAAGATCTCTCGTTAGTTCTGCTTTTTGAGACATGAGAATTTACTGGCATTGTTGACGCTGCCAAGACTGTTGCATAAGTGGGGTTAACTGGTTTATTTATTTAGAATTGTTTCTCTATATTAGTTATCTTTTTTAATAATTGTTCAATTTTTGCGTTCTGCAAATTTATCAGGTCACCTTTCTGCATGTTCTCTTCTAATAGAGATATCAACTTGTATAGCGTTGACCCAGGTCACTGATCAGCTCCCTACAACAACGGCAGGACAAACCAGAACCCTCTCCTTTTCTGGACAATACACGGATATCACTATCGTTGATATTCACACACCCTGGATGGAATGTTTGGCGACAAAACCCTACACATTTCACCTGAATATCTGCTTGTTTTATGGTGATATTACATCGTTTGAGCGCACTAGATTTCGACTCGTCTAAACCGGACATCGCCATCTTGGTTGTGGCTTGTTCATCGCTTACCACCTTATCATTGTGAACTGAATCCAATTGAGTTGATACGGGCGCAAGTCAAAGGCGAAATAGCAAGGAACAATACAACCTTCAAGTTAGCAGATGTCAAGTTATTGTTACAAAATTCCATCAACAACGTATCCAGGGAGAACTGGCAAAAATGTATTCAACACGTCATAAAGGAGGAGTAGAGAATGTGGGATCTGGATACTCACATAGACATGATTGTTGAACCAGTTGTGATTGAGTGAATAGTAACGATCGTTTTGCGAATTGTCCTATCTGTAGACCTGGAGGCCAGTAGCTGTAAATTTAGATACAGGTTCCCTTAAATATTTTCTACAGATAGGACGATTTGGTGAAACGATCATTAAAAATTCTTTCGGTCTTGTAAAAATTACGCGTCGCACCATAAATAAAAATCGCTTCGATTTTTTCTTCCAATGGACGAGAGTTGACTATTTTAAAAATAGTTCAAATAGTATCTAGCACTAAAAGCGAAAACTAAATAAGAATATTTTAACTGTGCAATGATGTTTGTTTTCGTACTGATATTCTTGTCACTGTCAACAAAAAATAACAAAACAAGTTTTTATCGCTGTTGCTGTGGATACGGCAAGGAATTACAATTATTTGTAGAGATATGCATGATAGTGGGTTTGTGTTCAAGTAAGAACTAAATGCACCTGCATTTTGTAGTAGGTAAAGGTATTGACTTATATTCTAAAGTACTCGTCAGAAGCTTCAAAATGATCTGCCACAGGACCTCCGTTTTCACATAATTTTTTTCCAACATGGCGCCCAGCGGCCATATTGACATTTTCATCTGTCAATTTTACTCTAAAATATGGTATCCACGCATCAATTTCATCACCACAAGTTTTAATTTTTTGAATTGATCCGTTCAAAAAATCAAAGGGGAGGGGGCAGTAAAGAAAAGCACTGTATATGTCAACAAGGAGAAATTAAGTTTAATCCTGGTGAAGACTATGTCTCAAGTCTGATCTTAGGAAAACAGTCACAATGCCAATTAGTACCAGTGGAACCGGCAAAAAAATATTTAACCGAGTCAATGCCGAATATCTCATTATGATCACTGAAGAAAAAATTACTTTGAAATCAAGATGTCCAGACGAGAAGTATTTCACTGTCCAAGGCAGCACTTTAGTAGAAGTTCCTGTAAACTGCAATTTAGAATATCAAGACTACCGTTTTGGGGATAAAAATCAAAAAGCCATTGGAAAGCCCTTAATGTTACCTTCAATAGTTAAAAATTCATCAGTGGAATTAGCCAATCTAAAACTAAGACCACTGAAATTAGGATAAATTCCATTAGAAGACATGCACGAAATTCAAAAGCACATGAAGATTAGAAATCAATTGCTGATCGAAGACGTAAAACCGATTGATCAATCCAATTGGTTGCTATGGTCAGTGATTGCAGTAATATTAGCCATTGTCTCCGTCTTTACTTAAATCAAGTTTTCGAGGAAGAAATTGAAGAAACATAGGAAGCCTCAACAAATTGCCGAAATTCAAGATAACCCGCTTTCAGTGCTGCTCCAGCCCGAAGTCGTTGTTTAAGGAGGAATAGTTACGCCCCTGGAAATGCATGGGTTCGAAGAAAGAAGACGCTGCATCAGCTTTTTCCATTCTTATCATACTCACACACTTACATCGTTATTCAGATTCACTTTGCTTTTGCTACAATCAACTTTGTAATTCTTTCTTAATAAAAATTTGTTAGTTCGGTCTGAAAAAAATTATTTTGAGTTTGTTTTTAAAAACTCAACGTCGCAGGCTCCCGTCCTAACTTGCATTTCTTTACGAGTATTTGAACTGTTGGGACAGATTAAATGATACATGTTTACCATGCAAAGATGACTTTTACAGTAAAGTTAATAATGAAAATATTTCTGACGATGACTACCGCCATACGTGTAAAGTTTGGCATACATTTAACATTCAAAATTTACAAAAATATTGTGAACTGTACTTAAAGACTGACGTGATACTGTTGGCAGATGTTTTCGAAAACTTTCGAAACATGTGTATTGTAACAAGAATGAGTGTACTACTAGTGACATCTGTTGGGAACCGCGAAAAGAACTCTTTTTTGGTGCGAGACTACGAGCGACATCTGTTGGGGACCGCGCCAGGCACTCTTCTTCGAGATCGAAGACTGGCCTCGAAGATTAAAGACTGCCGTTATGTGGCGTACCGGAACTTTCTCAAATCAACGAGTACCTGCGATGCGGATACGTAAGCCGATGGCAGGGAGAGGGAAGCAGAGTTGAGTGAATGATGCGACATAATAATTTGTGAATAAGTAGTCAGACATAAGTAGTGGTGTACATACTTGTTCTATCTAATTAAGTTAAAGTCAGTTGTGTTGTGTTTCAAATAAATAAGTGCATTTCTTTTTGTGAAATCGAGTGTTTTAATCCACACCCAGAAGAACCCAGAAAAAATGCTACAGTATTAAAGTATATCAATTGGATGCACTTCATTATTTTACAGCACCTGGGTTAACGTTCGATGTGATGCTTAAAGGTACAGATAGACATGCTCAAAACTAGCACAAAAGCATGCTACTAATGAGCAATTGCTACCTACTCGCACGTGTGTCTAAGCATTTGCTAGTATTCACCATGCTCAAAACTAGCATGCTGACAAATCGATCGACGTTCGATTTTTGAGCGTGCTACTTGAGATGTGGATGGAGGGGGCATGCCCTTGAGCAAGTGTGGACGCCTTTGCTAATAACGAGCATGCTAGTGTTCCGTCGCAAGTGTGCATGTGTGTTGCGACATCGAGCCAAAATGTCTCGCAGGGGAGATGAAAAGACGTTTAAATTTGTAAATCTTTACCGGAGCCATGAATGCCTTTGGAATCCAAAGCTACCGGATTACAAAAACAATATTTCAAGAAATAATGCGTATAAAGATTTGATAATAAACATGAATGACCCTACTCTAACTGTTAGAATTATAAAAACCAAAATTAAAAATTTGAGGTCTGTTTACCACTCAGAAGTGAAAAAAAATACACTTTTTCCTTGGAGACACAGGTGATTACCGGGAAACTATTGAGACAGCAGTGGTAAGTTTTTATACTTTTATTATTATATCGCCTAGGGTTTTGTATAGAACATAATATATACAATAAGTACAGGTTGTTTATATCATATGGTCTTGCCATGGTACCGCTTCTGTAGTTTCAAAAAGTTGTGCATAAGCGTTTCTTATTGCTTCTGCCTTTCGAGAGGCATGGTTACTATGACGCGCACGTGGTAGGCTTCCCATAGCTGTACGCAGTTGTGTCCTCCATGCTCCTGGTACAACAACACGTTGTTGTACATCTTCAAAATCGACGCATCTGTGAGTGATGTACATATGGGATGTTTTTCGCAGCCAATTATGTAACGAGCAAGCAGCCAATACAATACTATCAACATTTTTTGGTCTCATATCTATAGTGTTCAGAAGAACTCGAAATCTTGTGACTAAAATACCAAACGCATTTTCTACAATTCGTCTAGCCCTCGACAAACGGTAGTTAAACACTTGTTCTTAATGCGTTGGTGTTCGTGGGTAGGGCTTCATTAGATAAGTCTTTAAAGGAAAAGCCGCGTCTGCCACAATTATCGATCGCTCTGGTAAATTAAGAGTATTATTTTCTAAAGCTTGTGCCAACTTTGATCGTTGAAAAACACCGCCGTCAGAAGCTCTCCCATTAGTTCCAACATTTACATATGAAAAACAGTAATTATCGTCAACTAATGCGAGAAGTATAGTGCTGTGGGCACCCTTATAATTGTCATAATCGGAAGTATCATCAGGAGCACGTATGTTTATGTGTTTGCCGTAAAGCGCCCCAATACATCCTGGAAAGTTCCATTTAGTTTGAAATCCATGCTCAATACGCTTCCATTCTTCATGGCACGGAATCTGTAAAAAAGAAAACAAAATCTCTATATCCAATAGTATACAGTAGAATTAGTATTATCTAATATTTATTATTATTATTATTAAACTTTTTTACAGGACACAGATGAGTCATCGCAGGATTTTCGACCAACTAGTGCTAATTCGAACTCTAACCCCTTGTCACCGCCATCAGTCAGCACCGTAATGTCGCCACCCTCGACTACTGACATTGCGGAAGAAGGAACACCATCCCGTTCATCTAAGGACACACCAGCACGGTGTAAAAGAAGGAGCATACAAGAAGAGCCGATCACTTCTGCTCTAAATCGTTTAGAAAATATAACTTCGTCTATAAACAGACAAGCAGAATATGCTGAATTTCATTTTTTTGGTTTGAATATTGCTGCCCAATTGCGAGCCCTACCATTAGATGATGCACTAAACGTGCAAACTGAGATTCAGACAATTATAACTGCGGCTAGACGTCGACATCTGTACCCAAACTTGTCTACATACTCCACTTCACCCATACAAATAATAAATTCCACACCTACTTTTACAAATATTCAAACTAACAGCCAAACCGAAGCAGAAGACGCTTTAATCAGAGCATGGAGATTTTTTTTAAGTATGTACCAGATAATATGTTAACAAAAATAAATGTTTCATTTGAAATAATATCAGTGTTCTACTTACCCGCATATAATCCTTCAAAGCCCTGTATATTGCATCACAAACTTCTGGTATAAACTGAGCTATGGTAGATCTCGCAACCCTGTGAAGTGCTTCTAATGTGTACATGGAATCTCCAGCTGCAAGGTATCTCAGTGTAACTTCCAATTTGATTTTAGCTGGAATAGCATTTCCGCAACCACATCCGTGCAACTTGAGCTCGTAACGGACATTCATATGGCTTTGTTTTTGCTTAAAGGAATTCGAGGTGGTGTTTCTCAATGTAGCAATAGGTACGGTGAGACAAATAATAATTACATGGGAGCTAATAATCCAGATCTACCTTTTTTTCTGATATATTGCGTTTATGGCCGATTTGTGATTTTTGTTGGTGGTCTCATTCCGAGTCTGATTTGAACCGCTGCTGGTAGTTGAGGGTGATATTACAGATGGTGAAATATTAACGTTCAGTTGTGTGCTGGATGTGATAGTAGTTGATGATTGCAAAGTGGTTCACTTCTCTATCATTGCTTGAAACACACAAATGTATTGACAAAAGTTTACTCAAACAAATGGATGACGAAAAAGCCCGTTGGCGATAAGTCTTATACCGAATTATTGCTGTGATTCAATATATTGCAGAACATGACTGCGCATTTCGTGGTAGCAGTGATGAACTTTATTAGCCAAATAATGGTAAGTTTCGCGGACTTATCGAAGCTTTGGCTAAATTTGACCCGGTGATGCAAGAACATGTTCGACGCATTATAAATAATGAAATTCGTGATCATTATTTCGGACCGAGGAATCAAAATGAGTTGATAGAATTAATGGCGTCGAAGGTAAAAAGAAAAATTATTTCAAACATACATCAAGCAATATATTACTCCGTTATTCTTGACTGTACTCCACATATTAGCCATCAAGGACAAATGAGTTTGCTAATTCGTTACGTGCGAGAAACAACTGATGAAGTGTTAGTGGAAGAGCAATTTATAACTTTTTTAAAAATACACGAAAGCACTGGGAAAAATTTATCAACAGTGTTACTTGATACGTTACAATCAGTGGAGATCAATATAGGAAATTGTCGAGGGCAAGGTTATGGTAATGGTTCCAACATGTAAGGAAGAAATGAAGGCGTTCAAGCGCATATATTGATTATTAATGCAAGAGCGTTTTTCTTCCTTGTGCAGGTCACAATTTGTGTCTAGTTTTAGGTGACATAGCTAAATGTAATTCTCATGCGATTTCGTATTTTGGAGTCATTCAAAGATTATATACAATTTTTGCTGCATCAACGAAGAGATGGGATATTTTAGTAAAACATGTTGATGGTTTGGCTGTCAAAACATTATCAGAATCTAGATGGGAGTGTGGTGTTGAAAGTGTAAAAGCTGTACCCTATCAATTAAAAAGTTTAAGATCAGCTTTGCTAGAAGTAGCAGAGACCTCCAACGATCTTAAAATTAAAAGTGAAGCTGAGAGTTTAGTTCGCTATGAAATTGAAAGCTTTGAATTCATCGTATTGAATGTTATATGGTATGACATTCTACATGCGACAAACACTGTCAGTAAATTTTTACAATCAAAGGACATGCAAATAGATGTTGGCTTAGAACAATGAGATGGGCTTCTACAGTTTTTTAAAGAATATAGGCAATCAGGTTTTGTGTCAGCCATAATTTCTGCTAAAGAACTTGCAGAAGAACTAGATTTTGATTCTGAATTTAAAGAACATCGATCAAGGACAAGAAAAAGACTGTTTGAGTACGAAAGTCGACAGGAAATTCATTTGTCAGCACAAAAATTGTTTGAAATTGAATGCTTTATACCTACAATCGACCGAGCTATAAATTCAATTCAATCTAGATTTGAAAATTATGATAAAATTTCAAATAATTTTGGATTTCTATGGAATTTTATATCTCTCAGAAACCTGAATGAAGAATTTTTTCGTGGAAGATGTAAGAATTTAGATCTAATGTTGAAAGATGGTGATTCGAAAGATGTAGATGGGGACGAATTGTATATGGAATTGAACATTTTTAAAACAATTTTACCAGTAACTATTGAAAATGCCATTGACGTAGTTAATTGTATAATTAAAAAGAAAATCAAAGCAATATTTCCAAACACGAATACAATTTATAGAATCTTGTTAACATTGCCAGTAACAGTTGCATCAGGGGAAAGATCATTCTCAAAACTGAAGCTTATTAAAACTTATTTAAGATCAACAATGAACCAAGACCGTTTATGTTGTTAATAGAAAAAGAAGAAGCAAAAGATTTAGATTTTGGAGACTTAATTAATATTTTTGCAGAAGTAAAATCAAGAAAAGTGAAGTTTTCGTAATGTAAAATTATGTATTTGTACAATTTACGTAATTTCTAATTTTATTAAAGTTGTATAAAATATAAAACTATTCATATTACTATAAATAATAATTTTCCGAATTTCATTATTCTGTATTTTGATCATTTAAATATTAAATGTGTTAGGTTTTACTTTAAATTATTACTAATATCAACCAATATGCAATATGGCACTTTTTTTAAAGTGGAGATTTTTGACGCCCACTAAGGGCCCCACGCCTCATTTTCGCCCCAGTTGTCTGGAGGAGTAAGGTCGGCGCTGACCCCAGGATAACTACTCAGGTACAATCTTGGGTATTACTTGCTTCGACACTGTACATCAAGCTGGTATACTAGTATCCTGTAGCCAGATATCGCAAAGTAATTTATAATCTTTCTACAACTGGTCTACTTTCTCTAAACGTTGTGTTCTTTTTGGAAATTTTTGGACCAACTCTATTTAACAAATACTCAAAATCTGTACTTTTCATTCGTCAGAAATTTTCAAAAAGCCCATATACCAGTTCTTGATGGAGATCCTGCATTAAGCCTAGACCCCTATACGATTTCTACTTTCAAATAAAGATGCCATCCACCATCGTTGTTTTGAATATCCTCACTAAGTATTATATATGATGCACCAGCAATTAATACTAATTCATCATCAGTCATTACCTCACGGATGTGTTCGCTAGACTGGACGTCCGAACAAAAATTCGGCAAAACATCGCATGTTTTTACAGCATGCGTGCATTGCTGCTCGTTCGGTTGTGTTCGCTATGGTGAGTACGCGCCTTGAGTTGTGTTAACGAGCCAGCGGAGCAGAACGAGTAACCAGCGTTGCGGGGAGCGTCGGGGTACGAAACAACTCGCGCGAAAGTCGGCTGTTAAGTCAATTGTTCGGCGAACGCTAGTCATTGTTTTCGCGTCTCTATTTAGTCGAAGTAATTTGCAATAATTTGAAATGGATAAATTCCTGAACAGATCAAAACCATCAACTTCTAGCGAGAGTAGTGGATCAAAAGCAAACAAAAAACGTCTTTATAATGACAATTATCTGAAATTCGGGTTTACTGTGATTGAGAACAAACCGCAGTGCGTTACTTGCGTTGAAACATTATCAAGAGAAAGTGAAGCCATCAAAGTTGGTACACCATCTCAACAAGAAACATTATAAGAGAAAATTAAAAGCTCTTCAACATCTAAAAACTACTATAGTACAAATGCCCAAACGAAGTGAGAAAGCGTTTCTCGTTTGTTATCGAGTAGCTCTTCGTGTGGCTAAAGCAGGGAAACCTCAGAGCATTGCCGAAAAGTTATGTTTAGCAAACAGTAGGTTGAAAAGCTCGAAGGTATACCCTCTCTCTGACAATACCATTCAACGCAGGATAAGCGACATGGCAGCTGACGTTCGAGATCAAGTTATAGAAAATACTAAAGAATATAACTAGATGCAAGATTATTGGAAGAAATTTTGTTTTGCAGAGCACTTCCCTCAAATACTACTGGTGAGTGCTTGCATAGCATGTTCCTTGAAGCTACGCAAGATATGAATATCGATTGGGCAAAAAGATGCATTGCTATTTGTAGTGACGAAGCAAAAGCCGTGACTGGTGCGGAGAGTGGATTTGTTGCTAGACTGAAATAACAGATGCCGAACGCGTTTACTGGATACATTGCTTTCTCCATCGCCAAGCTCTTGCGGCAACATCCATGGCTTCGGATTATTATTTCCGAAGGTTAGATCCGAACTCCAGGCCCGGCCGGCCGGCTGATCAGTGGCACGACGCTCTGACCCACCCGGCCAACCTAGGTCCCCAAGTTTTAAATATTATTATAAAAAAAGTAAATTCCATCAAAGGAAACGCGTTGCAGACATTGTTTCGAAATATTTGTAAGGATATGGGTTCACTCCACCAAAATTTACTTTACCATAAAAAAGATAATATATATATATATAAATACTGGAATGAGCGAAACGTGTGTAAATAGAAATTTTTGTTTGTCAATTTGTAATGTTTTGTGAGTTTTTTTAAAGTAAAATAGTGTAGTTCCTGATAGATCCTAGTCTCAAAAACCTGTGGAAGTGTTTGATATCCTGAGTTCTCCGAATTTGCTCCAAAAACGCCGTTTGTAACATCTTTGTTTTTGTATACCTGGACCTAACCTCTCAGCAAATCCGATCAGCAGTTTCGCAGTGTTGCCACCTTTAGTTTTTCCCTGGTCTGAACCAATTCTCCCATCTGCCCTAAGGGAAGACATCTCCAAAAGAAGAAGAAGATATTTATAAACAAACAAAACAATTTTATTATTGTTTTTGTTTTAATAATTTTCAATGGCTAATTGCTTTAAGTGCAATATTGAATGTATATTTAAGGAGGATAGAGAGAAGATCAGAACTTTTGGCTATCCCTGTGACTTATGTAACCGAGTCATATGTGAAAAATGCAACTCTCTACAAGCGCAAGAAATTAGAGTAATCCCCAGTTCTAATAGGACTTTAGTCTACACCTGTCCTGAATGTAAACCGCTCTCCAAGGAATAACTACAAGCATTTAAGCAAATTCAATCCCTACAGCAGGAAATCTCATTGCATAAGAAGGAGATTTCAAATCTCAATGCGAGAGTAAAGAATACTGAAAATCAACTGCAACTGAAGGCAAATAAGGCTGATATGGACAAAGACAGGGCTGCAGTGAAATTAGTTCATGATGGATTACAAAAATCTCTGGAAGACTTATCCCTAAAAAACAAGGATGACAACTTTTCAGACAAGAATGCACTATCCATCACTTCTTTATTGCACGATAAACTTGACGATAAATTGTTGTTCTTCACTGAAAAGATCAACAATGAGCTAACCAAATCCTTGAGCTCACACCTTAACTTGATCCAGGAAACTAATAAGGAACTTCTCAATTGCATGAAGATTGAGATTAAGACATATGCAAGTAAGTTGTCCAAGCCCCCAATAGTCCATGAAATCACACAAGAGCAAACGAGTAAAGCTATCAATGATGCATTGGTTTCTATCAATGGCCCTCCAAGCTCAACTGCAGTCTCCATTAAACCTGGTCCCATCAAGCAATCTGAACATTCAACAGGTCCTAAACAACTTGGTAACTCTAACACTCTTGTCAGGGGTACAAACAAAACTTAAACTGGAATTGTAGCAGCGGAGGAACAGTTCTGGTGTTATATAGGCAACCTGGAAGCAGGAACCACAACTGATCAATTAATAAATTATCTTAAGTCCAACAACATTGAAGCCTTAAC